ATATTTATTTTTGAGGACACCCAAGCACTGGCTCACGGACCCCGGTTTGAGAACCACTGAGATAGATAGACTGCTCACCGTGTGACCTGCTCTGGATTGTCCTCCGTTTCTGAGTCAGTTTCAGGGTGGGGGCCGTACAGACAACTGCGGATACCCTGGTAATCATGCATCACTTCAATCTGACCAGACACAATAAACCTGTCAACTTGGACACAAGTGTGAGCCAACATTTTGTGCTCAAAGTTAAAATAAAGACATATGAGAAGAATATTCATAACCTACATAAATAAGTCATTATAGAATTTCAAAAGTTGGTTGAGGTTATGTATGGGCAGAAATCTCAAGCCGACAAGATAAGAACAAAATATGGGTCATTAATTTACACGCACACACCTTGCGCTGGTTGTTGTTCCTCCTTGCAGCTTTTTTACCAGGAAGCAGGTCAAAGGAGAACTTTGAGTTCAAGACATTGAAGTCAACACCTGCAGGGAGAGATGTTAAAAGACCAAACTAAAGATAAATGCATGAGAAGGAACACTCGGAGTCTGTGTTGGATGCAGTAAGTGGCAATAAAGTAAAAACAGATTGTACACTGATTGTGCTTGTAGCTCAAATCCTGAATGCTGGATTTAGAAATATCTGTACTCAACCACAAAATATTGTTTTAATTTGTCAGAAAAAAATATTCCTTAATATGCTTCTAATAAAAAATAAAATAAACCTGAAATAGAGAAATAGAATTTTCAGCTAAATGCAGCGTGAACGCCAAGTGCTGAACAACTTCGCTGAAATTCGTTAAAAATTAATGAATGAACGGTTAAATTTAAAACAAGCAGGAAAAATTAAAATCCAAAATTAGGCAAACTAAAAGTTCAAACTAGTTGTTGTTGAAAGCAAAAAAAAAGTAGCTGATGACTAAAGTTTTTAAAGTCATAGCTAAAATCTATGAAAATAAAAGTACCTGGCAAAAGCCAATGCAGACATGTTCCTGTTTTTAGTTTTCTAAATCGTCTTGTGATCTAACAGTTTTTTGCTGCTATTCCTCTTGATTGTTCTTTTGGTTGTTGTTTTGTTTCGATTTGTAAAAAAAAAAAAAAAATTAATTTGTATGCCTATTTTATGATTGTCTATTGTTGCCGTTGTTATCCATTGCTGTCATCACTCTTTATTAAGAAATCAGGTCTCTCTTGTAAATGAGTCCTCGAGGCTCAATGGGACTAACCTGTCTAAATAAAGGTTGAATGAAAAAAAAAATCTAAAATTTGCAAAACAGTAGCTAAAAGCTTAATTAGCAAAACTGTAGCAAAAAGCTAAAATTAGTTAAATGGCAGGTACAAACCTATTTGTAGCAAAACTGTAGCTTTAAGCTAAACTTGGCAAAATTATATAAAAGATTTAAAATTAGCAAGACAGTAGCTAAATGCTATATGAAAAGACAAAAAAGCAAGTTTGCTGAAGCAGATGCAAGACAAGTTTTTGAAGAAACTGAAGAAATCAACTGTATTTCTGTCACAACAACTTTTGTAAATAAAGTTATTTAATTCATAAGTGTAAAAAATATAAACATTAAAAGTGACAGCGTTCTATTCACAGTGGTTGTGGTATAAGAATAGTTTTTTTTTTAAAAAGCAGTCATTCGCAAAAAACATACAGAAAAAACTATAAACAGGAAGTGTGAACGCTGACTCAGAATTCATGCAGTTAATCTAACGCTGTACACAGGCAGTGCTAATGTGGTGTTTACCATGTTTGGGGGAGAACAGCGGGGACACGCAGCGCAGTAACATCTGGTCAGGTTCGGGTCGAGGAGCCACCAGCTGTATGGGTCGAACCTGCACATCTGCCAGCTTCTTTAGACACTGCTCTCTGTTTCGAATCATGGACTGAACCGAGCTCAGCTTCTCAGTTACCATGGTAACCTGAGACTACAAAGAAGATAAACAAAGTGTGAGCCAGGATGAACTGTGAGAGCTGTGGTAGTTATTGATCGACAGATTGATTTGTGGCAGCAGCACCCAGTCACCTGCAGCTGAGGGGTGAGGATGGCTTCAAACTCCAGGCTCAGGGTGTCCTCGCTGGTCTTCAGCGCAGACGGCGACCTCCCCTGGTGGCTGCTCAGGTACTGCAGCGCCTCCTGAGCTCCTTCTCGAGTTTGAAACTTGTCCACCATCTGACTCGCAAGCAAGTAGGCGCCCTCGTCGCACCAACGAAGCGCCTGCTCAAAAATGACAAAACATTAATGAAGTCATCGGCCCCTCTGGGTTACTCAAATGTTTCTGCACTTTGACCTCTTCGAGGCGCAGCAGCAGGTCTCTGGTTCGGATCAGGGAGGCTCTCTTAGAGCGGATGGCAGTGCTGATGACGTCACAGTGATGTCGCAGCTCATTGCAGCGCTGGACGATTAGAGCCAAAGCATAGTGGTGATTGGCAGCCAACTGGTGGCCGTGCAGGATCACCACCTGAGCTCGGGCCATCTCCTCCTGGTTCACACAAACACATGAAGTTTAGATTAGCACTGTGTCCCCATCACAACCCCCCTGAAGCTTTTAAAGAAAGCCTAAAAGACATATTTGTGATTTTTCACATTCTGTGAAATGCTTAGGATGAATTATTATCACACCTGTTGTACTTTGTAGATGTGTTTTTGAATGACCTCAATTTGGAGAAATACACTTTAATTCTGATCAGATCAACAAGCTCACTAAGCTAATTTTATTTTGTAAAACTTTACATCAACATCAAATTTGCAATGCATGGTAATTCCAGTAAAGATTGCATGATATTCCTGCCATAAGAGGGCCAAGCTACACAGAAGTATTACATAAATAACAATGAATGTAGCAGGAAATTAATAACACTATAAAGATTTCCTGATGCATGCTCAATAATCCAGGCAGAAAATCTAAAAAAGTTAAATCTGGTCCTCTGGACATTCAAAAAACAAAACAAAGCAAAACAACAAAAAAGTGTAGGAACGTTTATTCTTTTATCCGAAAAAGTATAAAAATTTATTAAACAGTATTTGTATAACCACTAGGAAATTGTAAAAATTAAAAATAGCAGTAACCCATTTCGGTCTCTACCCGTTAGCTCGTCATTGTTGTCAGAAATAATCTTTGTTTCTCCAAAACCAAGTTGTTCAAAGAGCCATCTACAACAGGTAAGACATTAACGGTTTATAACCTTTTCTACAGAACCCCACTTCAAAAGATTAGAACTATTGCTTTAACACTTTTTTAATTGGTAGTGTACAAATTAATCAGGGCTAACTCTGCTTTTTCCGCGGTCTATTGTTTAACTTTAATAATACCTACTTCAGAATATATATGAGGGTTAGAAAGCAAAATCAAGAAGAAACTAACATTAAAAGGATTGGTTTAGGTTTTTAGAGGCAGTAGCAACTAGTGCACATGTAAGGCAGCTAAACTGCACGGCACCAGGCTCTATAGTGATAGATTACAGCATCAGTAGTAGTGGTGTAATACAAATAATACAACTATATCATGATCTGTTGTTCTAAATACTGTTAAACATTTATTTGTAAACTTTGTTCATGTCCTCTGTGTAGGAGTTCCAGTGTTTTCAGCTCTTCAACACTAGATGGCGCCAACAGGCTCACACCTGCAGACCATTATCTTAACAAGCTGTATGAGTATAAATGGCAGTGATGTCTTCTCCTCAACGCTGGTGCATTACCTGCCTACTGGTAATTATGTTCCTTGAGTTTGTGAAAACTAATACCTTTTTCCTGCGTGTTACAGCTCCTACCCCTGTGCTTCTCCTGCGTCCTGGACCTCCTTGTTTCCATCGTGAACCTCCTAATGCTGTCTCCAATTGTTCCTCGCTTTCCACCGCCTGCCCTTGCCACCTCTCTGGGATCTCCTTGTACAATTACTGGAACTATTGGACACTCACTCCTAAAATAAACCATTTTCCTTCTACAGTAAGCTACTAATTATTATCTGGACCATCCTCAAAGAACCCATTGTCCTTGCTCTCCAGGGTTCCAGTTCCTCCAGGTTGCAGCCAACTCTTTAATATTTCCACTTTGTAAATAAACACTTTTTAAATGATTGCTCTGGTCTTGGAGTTGCTCTTTTCAGCCACTATTCTGGGTATTAAATAAATCCACTCTGTGATTTCCATTCCAGAGAAATGTGCCTTCATTTTTAATTTTTTTTTACCTCAGCGTGTTTGTCCAGAGTGTCCAGGTCTTTAAGGAACTGCTCTGTCTGAACCACAGTGGTTCCCACTGAGGCAATCTCCTTCTCTTGGGCAGAAAGACACTCCAGCACCTCATCCATCTAAACACAATCACCACAAGTGTGAATCCAGAGGCAGGATTAAAGGTACTGATGGGAAGACACACACAGAGGCATCGACTATCACACCTGCTGGAAGCTGGTCTCATAGTGCAGCAGCTGGAGGTACTGCTGCAGCTTTAGGTGGTGTTTGTCGAAGAAACCATCAAACGCCTCCTCCATGTCTCTGAGTTGTGCTAAGAGTCTAAAACATACAAAGTTCAGATCAGACAACAAATGTCCAATAAAGTATATTGCCATCTAGTGTACGTCTGTGGTACTGCACCTCTGAACTGTCTCCATGTCCGACTGTATTTCTCTTTCTTCTTCTACGTTTTTCTTAGCAGCTTTGACGGTTTCCAGGTTGGACAACAACAGGCGTCCTTCTTTTAGCACCCCGCAGATATCATCCTGACCAAACGAACACAAAACCAGAGCATACGCAAACGATCTGAGAGAGTGAGCAGAGAAACAAGGGGAGATCAAGGAGCGATGGCAGCAACCTTCATCTGTCGGTATCGGTGGGTGTGTGAGTGCTCCAGGAACTCGATGGCGGTCGCTTCATCCGGAAGTTCGGTATCGGACAGCTCAGAACCAAAACCTTGCAGCAGCTGAGCGATCTCCTTCACCGTCACCGCAAAGGTCTCAATGGACTGCAAAACACAAACAAGCACATGATTTTCTCCAGTAACCAGTAGTTGTTGGATTTTCTTGTTTTCCAACCCTTCTTGGCTTCGCTGCGATGGATCGCGAGCCTACCGAGCGGAGGATGACCCAGTCGCTCTGGCAACATTCTACTTTTGCAGTAAAGTCCGATGCCAGGTGGTGTTCATCGATGTAGCGCAGCAGGTCACCAACTGAACGCAGCATCACCACCTGGAAAGCACAGAGGAACAAACATGCATCAACAGGCGGCAAAATAAACCAGGTCTAAACCAGGTCCAGATCTTGTAAATGAGTCCCCGAGGCTCAATGGGATTAACCTGTATAAATAAAGATTGAATGAGAGAGAAAAAACTTCTAACAAAAACGGCCGTGGATCAGAGAGGAACAGAATAAATGTCCCAACAACACATAATTATCTGTTATGATCCCACTCTTTCTTTCTCACCGGCATCTTTAGCAGGAAGTCATCCTGGCTGAAGCGACAGCCCAGGTCAGTGCTCGAGGACGGACTGGGGGCGGAGCTTAACAAGCCAGAGGGGCGGAGCACCAATACCAAATGCAGATTGCCAGGAAAAGAAGTCTAAAATGAGAAAACGGAAAACGTTTAATTCCTTAGCCGCAAATCTTTTTTCACAGTTGAAATAACAAACTTAGACATGTTCTTTTGAATTTTTCCTATTTTGTTTTGAAATTAACTCGTAAATTAATTCATTCAGGATTTTGTTTTAGCGTACATTCAATACGATGGCAAAAGAAATGTAATTTCCTGCACATTTAGCATTATCATTTAGCCTTACATGCATGTTTTGGGACCATGGAAAGAATCCAACGTATCTGATGGAAACTTAAACATGAAAAGTTGAAATAATGAAGGACAATCTTGCTGCAAGGAAAAACCGCTGTTAAAAAATGTCTGCTAATTGTCAGCATGCGCACTAAAAAGTATTTTTATGATTAAAATTGTGCTAAAATGCACAAATCCCACCCAAACTTTCATTTCTATATATTATTGTGACAAAATGGGAAATATACTGAACCAACTCGATCCTTTAAATCTGAAGATTAAATACAAAGTTGATTGAATTTATGCAGAAAGCCTTTGTTTTTAGTGAAGGTAAAATGAGTTTTCTGTATGATTCTTTTCCCAGATTGCTGGATGTTTTCAGAGACAGCCGTGCGAGGAGACAAGAAAAGCTGATCTCCCTCGTCAGAAGAGACTGCAAAGCTCAACACAGTATCCTTCAGTGTCAGACTGATGGAGCTTTGGCTCCTGTAGCACCTCAGCAGCCCTGACAGCCAGCTTCTTACTTCTTTTACTCTTCAGTCTAACTTCTGTCTTTCATTATCAGCTGTCAGGCCTCCTACAAACCTCCACATTGTCATCCTCATTTTACCGACAACATTTTTGTTGTTTTTGTTGTATACAGAATTACTAAACTGTCACAGATTCTTCAAGAGAAAAACTTTATTTAGGGAGAGCTATAACTATTTGTTTTGTCTTATATGACGATGGCAGGTACAAATGATTAACATTATTAGTCCGTGCATGAGGTATTCTTTGAGTAAAAATATTAGCCTATACCAAGGGTCTGCAACCTGCAGCTCTGGGGCCACATGCAGCTCTTTGGTACCTCTGCAGCATCTTTTTCAGGTTTTAACAAAACTAACAAAAAACTCAATTGTATTTAAATTATTGCCAACAATGAAAATGGATAGTTTTATCAGAGTCCCTGTCATTTTCAAATATGTGAAGAATACACGGTGTAAAACATCTGGACTACATCGTGCTAGTAGTTTGTTAGCCACTTTACGTCGACTTTAAGCGTGATCTTTCTCTCAAAACCACCAGAATGTTTTGAAATATCTTTGGAAAAATGTAACTGGATATCCAACACACTGGCTTAATTTTATACTGTCTTTAACTTTATGCTTTCAGTAGGATATTTAATTCTTCAACAATTAGGAGAGCTCACATCGACCTGCAGAGTTCAGTGTTTTAATTTTCATAAAACGGTTCAAAATTATATATTTTTTTCTTTCTTTACATGAATCTGGTCTTTTCTTTTTAATTAAAATGTAAAAAATATTGATAAATGTTAACAATTAGACATTTTTTTTTATTTTATATCACCCCCACTGGCCAGAAAAGCCATCTCCAACAATCTTGTTGTGGCCCATGGGCCACCAGTTGACAGTTGTAGCAGGTTTTGCAGCTCCGGACATCGTAATTAGTAAGCTCAGTGGCAAACATTGCTCTTTTTATCACACATGTTGCAGACCCCTGGTCTATACTGACATTCACATTTAAAAAGTTATATTTTGAATTATTTGAACTATTTGATTTGTTGTTAGCACTTTGTTTTGCTAATACAATATTTTTAAGACACTGGCAGTGCATGCAGGAAGATGAGAATCGCATCTTAGCCAGAACAAACGCAACATTTAGAGTGATTAAAGTGGCACAAATAACTTGGAGTGAAGACTGAATGGTTAGAAATTGAAGTTGTTCACTTGTTCCTTCATTGTGCAGCTTTTCTACCTTCTGCTCTCTCCTCCCATCGTTTTATTGTTGTGCCAATTTTTACTCAGCAAACACAACTTGTTCAGACCTGACGTGAGAAAACCTGGATTTATAAATCTAAATACCATTAAATGTGAACTACTTCTGCTTTCATATTATCTCCCACAAGTCTGTACAGGCTCGTTTAGAATTAAAAACTCTCTGAGGGTTTATAGCTGCTGTGATGGACCGTGTGTAAGGCTGGAAGGTGTGAGTTTTTAAAGTTTAGAGCATATCTAAATTATTCAGTTGATGACCACTGCAGCGTTTTGTGCCATAAAATCACCATCCATATTTATCTAACTTATTAAAAACATTTCTTTAGGAGTCATAATGGATGCCTATAAGAAAACAGCTCTAAACCAGGGGTCAGCAGTCCGTGGTTCTGGAGTAATGTCTAAAGTGACACCATTAAGTGACTCCATGTAACGTTGACTAAAACCGACATTATTTATCTGTTTGAATGTTTTGCAATATGTGCATTATCTTTCTACAGCAGGACATTAATAAAACTAAAGAAACTGCATTTCCTGTGAAAATGCAGTGTGAATGACTATTGCTGAAAAACAGCTGAAATTAAATAAAAACATTTTGAAATGTAGCCGAAAAGGAAGACCAAGTCTAAGTTAGCAGAAGAAAGCAGAAATAACACATATTTGCTGAATTAGGTTTAAATAAGCATAAATGAGCACAGAAATTGTGAAATTAGCTGTAGAAAGCTGAAATAAGAAAAACAATAGCTGAAAAGGCAGAAAGAGGCTTAAACTACCAGAAGGAAGTGGAAAGAGCTGAAAATAACAAGAGCAAAAAAGTGGAATTAGCTGAAAAAGCTAAAAAAAAATAGCATAAAACAGCTAATAGAAGCCAAAATAACTCAAACTAGCGGAAATAAACTGAAAGGAGCATAACAAGCTGAAATTATTAGAAATAAGTTAACTAGGCTGAAAGTAGCAGGTTACCACACAAACTTGTTGAAAACAGCTGAAATTAGCTAATATATATATATATATATATATATATATATA